CTCTCTCTCTCTCTCTCTCTCTCTCTCTCTCTCTCTCTCTCAGAGCAAGCAAGAACCCAGGGGTATGGAAAAGAAATTTTGGAAAGCCCGGGCCAAGGAGATGGGGGTGGGGGCTGGGGTAGGAGACATATGGGGGTGGGGGCTGGGGTAGAAGACATAGGGTCTTCAAGTCTACGTGGTGGAATTGAATAATTCCAGAGTAGAGGGGTGAGTCAAGAACAATGACACTGAAATGCACCAGTCGTACTTGGCTTTTATATCATGGGTAGGGTACCTTTGGCTAATTGTAACCAGGCAGAACAGGGGGCTTTGGGAATACTTCAGTAGCGGCCAATCCTGGATAGAGCTTTCTTGGGACCAATTTCCTGGATCCAGTGGTATTCGCACTCCCCCTACCTGTCTGCCTGTGAGGGGCCTGAAGTTTTAAGGCAAAAGTGTGAGGCTTTAGCCCAAAGTGAGCTTATTTAGCAGGGTTATCAGGATATTACTTAATTCTGTGTATTTTAGAACTCCACAGGCCTTCAGCTAAAAAGTGTTAAGCAGGAATTAAGGAGCTGAAGGTGGGAACAGGAGCTTAAAGGTAGAGGAAAGAGAGCTGTGGGACAGGGGGTGATATTGCGCTTGAAACTAAAAGGGGAGGGAGAAAAAAACAGAAAAAAAAAGAAAACGGGGGAAAAAAAACCGCTTTGGCTACTGAGCATGCCCAGTTTCGAGCTCAAGCCCTATAACAGAGTGCATTGTGTGCATTCCACTTCTCTGGGCTTTGGAGGTGACCAGGAGGGGACTTTGGTTGGGAATGGCAGGAGGTGGGGTAGAGTGGTGGACCTGAGTCTTTAGGGAGGGGCTGAAGTATAGATGGTTTAGACTGCACAGAGGGGACTATTAAGAGTGAAGAAGCAGGGATACACTAGGGAGATAGAAGAGGGAAAATGATTAAGAGTCAATTCTTTAGCACTCATTTGTCTATAGTAAGAGACTTTAGCATGTGATTGTCAAAATCTGAAGGTTGCAGATCTCACCCCTAGATAATCTAAATCCCTTGTACCCAAAGATTAATGTTTGCACAAGAAAGTAGAAATGTCCCGAGGAAGAGCCAAAGTTCAAAGCAGTTTCATGCAGATTGATAATTTAGTTAAGAAAGCCAAGGGACCTAGGAGAGCCAGCAGATATGAGTTAGTTCTGCTGTCTACACACCTTTCGAATGCTTGATTTCTAAACAAGAAACCTAGATTTTGCTTCCTTCCATGAATTGATATTTTGTAGGTGCTTAACTAAGAATAAACAAGTCCCTCTTTACTTTCTATCTATGCGGAAAATGGCTTTAGGTAAATAGGTCGAAGTTATAAATGAGAAGCTTTCCCCTAGAATTACTAACAACCTATTCTTTGCCATAATTCCAGAAAGACTTTCGACCCATTTCTTTGAGATCTGTGCTCTGTTCAGTTCACTTATTCAAATCTCAGTGGCTCCCGCCACAATCCAGCATAGCTAGTATCCAGAAATGCTTTTGATTAAAAATTATAAATTCTTTAAGCTGAAACTAGCAACAGCTTTGAAATCAGAGTTATGTTGTATACCTGAATTCTTACAGTTAGACATTTGCAGGAATTGGTTGATGTTTAAGGCCCCAAATCTTGACAAACAAATAAACAAACAAACAAATGGTGGACAAAGGATTCATAATACTATTTTTCAATAATATCCTACCTTTTATATTATCTATATAGTTAATCTATTTGTGTTTTCTGTTTTCATTTCTGTCGTTTCATGAAGTTGCCTTCAGTTTATATTCATGCAAGTGAAAATGTTAGTTGAATACATCATGTTTAACAGAGATAGATGTGCAATATTCACATATTAAATATGTGTATGTAGATTTATTTTTTCATGAAACCTTCATAAAGAGCTCTTCCTCTATCCACACTCTCCATTGCTTTAATTTTTATCCTCTTCTCTTTTGAAAACAACCTAGAGGCAGAAATTGAGTGGTCAGCAATAGTAAAATTTGTCATATTCATTGTGAAACCCACTATGAAATAGTGTCGCTTAAAGAAATACTAAAGGATCAGTCCACAGCAACGTGTACTGGTGCATCTTCTCTCACTGACATGAAATCTGTTTCCTCTATAGGTAACAGTTGCAATATGTTGAAAAATTCCCTCACTGTTGCACACATGAACAGAACAGATCCTGCTAATTAAGAGATGAAATTTGCATTACATAGCATAGTGCAATTTAGAACTGGTAATGGCTAACAAAACAAGTTGGCATTTTATTTGAAATGCAAGGAATTCCGAAAGCTACCATGAATTTTTATCAGGGTAGGTGAAATATTTGTCTTTGCTATAAATGTTAAAAAGATTCAATAGAATGAACAAATTTTGTCTGAAAATATGTGAGTTTCTTGTACTGAGGTATCTCAAAAGGCCAGACTTGGACAGTAAATATCAGATTATTTAAATGCCCAAATTTATTTAACTTTTGAAACTGGTCTGAGGTTTAGGTATTTAACTGCAGTAACAATGAAAAGTTCTGTTTTGTACAACTATGAAGAGAGAAGTCAGAAAGCAAAACCATCTAGAACACTGATAAATTGCAATTAATATTACTATTAAGGCTGTATTGGTAATTAATATTCAGCTCACTAAAATGAATACTTTAAAATAAAATTAAAAACAACCATAAAATAGAAGTAACACCTGTATGCTTTATGTTTCCTTTTCTTGAGAAGTAATTTGAAATTGAGACTTAGAGTCAAGTTGTAACCGGAGTATTCCTATGTCCACTCAGCTCCTGTAGCCACTCAGGCCCAATTAAATACACAGAGACTTATGTTACTTATGAACTATATGGCCATGGCTCAGGCTTCTTGCTATCTAGTTCTTATATCTTAAATTAACCCATTTCTATAAATCTATACCTTGTCCTGTGTCTCGTGGCCTACTGGTATCTTACATGTTGCTCGTCATGGCGGCAGCTGGCAGCGTCTCCTTGCTTCAGCTTTCTACTTCCCAGAATTTTCCTCTCTCTTTGTCCCACATATACTTCCTGCCTGGCTACTGGCCAATCAGTATTTTATTTATCAATCAATCAAACATAGCAACATATAGTCACAGCATACTGGACATCCCATAGCACTTCTTCTTTTCTGTTTTTTTCAAAAAGGAAAATTTTAACTTTAACATAGTAAAATTACATATAACAAAACAATTATCAAGCAAGAATTATAGTTACAATATCTAGTCTATTTATAATATCTAGTCTATTTGTGTTTGGCAGAATTAAAGAAGATATCCTATCTATCCTATGTTTGTGAATCTAAGGTTTTATATCTAATTTATCTTTTATCATAACCTAAGGAAATTATAACTATCTAGTCTTCAACTACTTTGCCAACCTCAGAAGGATATAATTTTACCTGAGAAATGGGAGAAGGACACAAGCAACTTTTGGGAGTCTTGCAAGAGTAGATAGAGAAACCTGGCAGCCTAGACAGTCATCCAAAGTTCTTCTGTAAATTTGGGGCATCTGTCTTCAACCCACAGGCCTAGAGTCTCTCAGTCATTTCTCTCTGTGTCCTGTGGAATGTCTTGCAGTTCCTTCGCAAAGCAGGAACCTGAAGGACCATTTTGACAAGCAAAGTTCAGTGGTCACCTTACTATGTGTCATGCATGTCCAGTTGATCAAGCAGTTCAGGCAAGAACAGTTTCTTGCCCAAATGGCTATTTTTGCCAAGGTGAAGATAAACTCCATATAGAGTGTCTTTGATGCCCATCCTCCTCTCTGAAGTAAATTGGTGCTGCCAGGAGCAGACATGTCTCACTGTCCAGAAAGTCTAAAATTTTAAAACATTTTAAATGCCATATTCTGTAGGTCTTTGAAGTGTTTGAAGATTACCTGTCTATCTGAAATATATCTTTGAATACCTAGAAAACTTAATGAACATGGCTACAAGTCTATCATAGAAGACTAATTATTAACCTGTATTTTTTTAAATTAACCATTAAAATCTAAATGAGTTACATAAACATAATACCTCAAATGAGAGTAGAAATATATATACACAGTACAACAAAAATAAGTTTAAATTTGTATCAATAAACTAAAATATATACCAATGTAAAACATTTCAAACAAGTTGTTCTTTAAAAGTAGGTTCAACAATCTACCCTTTTATCCTATCATATCTATATCATATATATATATGTATATATATATATACACACACACACACATATATATATATATATATATATATATATATAATATCCCCCTTTCTTCTTTTAGAAAGATATTGTATTTATAATTAACCTGCTTTAAATAAAAATATTGGTTTTTCTCCATCCTACATCAGAGGGCTCTCCTAATATGGGACAGAAGAATCTCTTAACCTCTTTTTTTTCTTTAGCAATATGGTTGGGGTTTAGAGAAGGAGTGAACCATTTCCATCTCCAAAGCCAGCTTGGTATATTTGG